TAAGACTTTTAATTGTGATAGATAATATTTTAAGTAGAAATCTCTCTAATAGTAGTATTACTGTTATTCTAATTTCAATATGTACTTTCAAAAATTATTTTAAGAGAGATTATGTTCTTTCTTAGAAATATTTTTTATTTAATTAATTTAAATATTCAATTTATTAGAAATATTTTTTTAATTTTTAGGCTTTTGTACCATTTGTTAATCAAGCCGAAATTTTATTTTTTATAATTTATTCGAAAACAAGCAACATTACAACAAATATTATTCGAATATTATTTTTCATTTTATTTCATTTAACACCTTTATTTAACCCAATTATTTGTATTTTAACAAACACTCCTTATCGAAATGCTATTTTTAATCGTGCACAAATAAGTCCACAATAAATTTATTAATGCCCAAATCATTTGTAAAGCATATAGCTATTAAATTCCTTAGTACAGGAGGCACGGTGTAACGGATAACACATCAGTTTGGTCTACTAAAGATACAATAGCTATAGCCCAGTTCTGCTTGAATATATTACAAATATTATATTCTATCAAATAATTGTTTAAAAATAATCTTATAATTATATAAAATTTATTTTTCATAAAAGTTCTACAGATTATTACTTATAGTTATTACTATTTTAAGATATATTTTCAAACATCTTTTTATTTTCTTCACTTTCCAACTGCTTTATTTTTTTTCTTTATTCTTTAGCATATTTTTAGCAGCAATAGCGCCAGTGTATTGTCCACCCATCATTGAGCCGAGTAACGCTTTATTAAGTCATCTCTTCCTTTAACGATAAAAATGTAAATGGAATTAAAAAAATAAAAACCTATTAATTATAGTAGATATTCCAGGCATTAATTGTCCTTCTTCCTTAATTGTTAAACCAACTTTTTCTTGCATAACTCGAGCGTTTAAGATTGTTGGGAGAACAAAGAGATTAACAAAAAGAATAAAAGAAATTAATGCTGGACGATACATAGTAATTGTTTTCTTTAATTATTTAAATTATAAATATATTTTGGAATTTTTAGGATACGCTCCCCGGCATCTGGGTAGCAACTCCTAGTTTCAATCTGTGCTTGGACACTCTTGTTAAAATTCGTACTCGTACCTAGTACGAGTAAAAATAAAAATTGCCAAAAATGGAAGGCGGTACGAGGTATGAGAGCAAATTTATTTACTTTTAAAATTTATTTTAAAAATAACAAATTAGGTAGCTGTGAATATATATAAAATAAAATTTAAAAAATGACTACACAATTTTATTATTCCATAATTCTATAGCCGAAAGTATTCATTATATTTAATTAATCAACTTTAAAATTTAAAAAATGATTTAAACGAATGTGTGTATTTTAATTAAGAAAAACCTGTTAAAAATAAAAGATATTTTTTTATATTTTATTTTGAGTTTTTATTTGGGTGTAAAGCAATCCAAGTATTTTCGACTCAAAATTTTTTATTCCTTAATCCTTTATTCTTCTAAATAAAAAACTTGGATTAAATTAAGAACCAAAAATATAAGTATCGTCAAATCGACGGCGAAGAAATGAAATAAAACAAGCCCAAAGCTTTCAAGTTTACAACTTTTAGTAGAGGCTTTACTTTTTTTTGTATAACCTTAGTTTTACTTTTAGTATGTAATACCGTATTTATTCGATTAATTCCCCTGGGGAATTATTTTTTCAACTCTTCCTTGGCATGGGGAATTAATCGGGGAGGGGAATTATTCGAGTTTTGGCATTTGAACGTGCATTAGGGTATTTGGGGTGGGGAATTATTGTTTCAACCCAACCCTAGCATGAGGAATTAATCGAGAGGTGGAATTATTCGAGGGAGGGAAATTTATCGAGAAAAGACGAACCTCATCCACTTTTATTTTCGAGATTAGAGCTGCTTCGAAAAATCCACAAAAGTTTCAGTAATAGCAAATACAAAAGATAGGTAATACAAAAGAAATGAGGTGTGCCCACATGTACCCCGATAACGATAGAGTGATGATATTTTAAAGATAAAATTTATCGGAGGGTGAATTTACGATAACGAAAATATGCTTCGACCTATCCATTTACCTTATTTATTTCAAATTTTAATTTAAAACGTCAATCCAAAATGTTTAGGTTTTGTAAGGCAAACTGAATTGGACGATTCGTCGAAGATCATATGGCGTTAAGTAATTCTGGTGTCTATGAAATAAAAAGGCAATTAAAAAACAACTTTCTATTTGATAACGTGAATACAAAAGTTGCATATATTTAAATTTTTTAATGAAGCTTTATTTAAAAATTAAAGTTAGTTATGCAAATTTTGGAATTCATTCAACTAAAATTTATTCTAAGAAAGCAAGAAATATTACAAATATTATATTCGATCAAATACTTATTTAAAAAACAAACAATCTACAAAAAATTTATTATATATTTATTAGTTGTAGTATTTTAATAATATTTCCTTCGAACATCTTTCCAAATCATTTTCTTCCTGTAGTTCCAGCTGCTTGTTGTTCTTGATTTTTTTTATAATTTTTGTAAGCCTTATAAGCAACAGCGCCAGCAACTGCCTACGCTCCATAGGTTTAGCTTTTTCGAACCAAGACCAAGGTCATTAAAAGGCCTGAGCTGACACCCATCTAAAAGGAAGGGAGAGGGCCGAAGGCCCGAGCTGACACCCATCTAAAAGAAAGGGCGAGGGCCGAAGGCCCGAGCTGACACCCATCTAAAAGTGAGGGCGAGGGCCGAAGGCCCGAGGGGAGGGCGAGGGCCGAAAAAAAGGGAGGGCGAGGGCCGAAGGCCCGAGGGGAGGGCGAGGGCCGAAAAAAAATGGAGGGCGAGGGCCGAAGGCCCGATTTTTTTTTCTACACCCATCTAAAAGGAGGGCCAAAGGGTGGAAGGATGAGTCTAAGTGGAAGGATGAGTCCAATCGAGGGGAAGACGAGGGCCGAAGGCCCGAAGTGACTCTAAGTGGAAGGATGATTTTAACTGAAGGAAAACGAGGGTTGAAGGCCCGAAGTGACTCTAATTGGAAGGACGAGTCCCAACTGAAAGCTAATCTTTTGATCCAGGCATAAAAAATCGCTAGCGGCGCGCGAAGCGCGCCCCCAAAGCCGTTAGGCTTTCCAACGGGCAGAAGTTTCGTAATTTAAAGAACCCCCCGATGTATTTTACTGCCACAGTATCGTAATAGGCACCCCAGTGGCCAAACCCATCGCTAGTTTAAAAATTAAAGTTAGTTATGCAAATTTTGGAATTCATTCAACTAAAATTTATTCTAAGAAAGCAAGAAATATTACAAATATTATATTCGATCAAATACTTATTTAAAAAACAAACAATCTACAAAAAATTTATTATATATTTATTAGTTGTAGTATTTTAATAATATTTCCTTCGAACATCTTTCCAAATCATTTTCTTCCTGTAGTTCCAGCTGCTTGTTGTTCTTGATTTTTTTTATAATTTTTGTAAGCCTTATAAGCAACAGCGCCAGCAACTGCCAATCCACCAGCAATTGCTGCGCCTTTTAAAAATTTTGAAACTCTCTTCTTCCTTTAAAAATAAAGATTAAAAGGAATTAAAAAATTAAAAACCTATTAATTATAGTAGATATCTCCGGCATTAATTGTTCTTCCTTAATTGTTAAACCAACCCTTTCTTGCATAACTCGAGCATTTAAAGTTGCTGGGAGAACAAAAAGATTAACAAGAAGAATTAAAGAAATTAAGATTTGACGATACATAATTGTTTTTTTCTAATTCTTAAATTATAAATAAATTTTGGGATTTTTGAATTTTTACGTGTATTATGCCAAAAATTTTTTCTCAGTTTTTTAATTTTTAATAGTCACACTTGTACTTATAGGAAAGGAATTTTTCAAATCAAGTTTTTTTTATTTCAGCGTACTCCCCACATTTATGCCAGTTTTACATACGTCCGGGTAGCAAATTTCCTCCACTTACTTTAAAAATTTTTAAAATTTATTTTAAAAACAAATTTATTAAAAATTTTTTTGTCTAATGTTAGTTAAACAATAATTAAAATAAATAAAGAATCGCCAATTTTATTATTCCAAAATTTTACAGACAAAAGTATTTATTAAATTTAATTAACTTTAAATTTAAAGAATGAAGAAAACCAGTTAATTGGGAGATTTTTTCTTCTTATTTTGAGTAATTAAACAAACATACAAAACAATGAGTAATATTATTAAAAAAATTTAATTTAAATTAATTTTAAATTTAAAAAAGAAGGAAAAATTTTTTAATTATTAAGTGCAAAATTAATGATAGATATACTTTATTAGGTCTATTAAATAAAATAAAAAAAGTTTGATAAAAAATTATTAGAATAATATTAATTTTGGGAAGATCGGATATCCGTACAAAAATAAAAATTTTTAATTTTATATTTCGTACAAACATTTAAGATCTTAGTAAAAAATATATTTAATAATAATATAAATATTTAATCAAATATTAATAGAAAACTTTAACTATCTTTTAAATAAATATATTTAAAGTTTGCGTGACTATAGTCAATCAAATCATTTATATATTAATTTATTTGCTGGAAGCTTTGAAAAAAATAAAAAATATTAATATACTATACAAATAAATCTGTCAGAATATAAATTAATTTAAAAAAAAAATGTTGAAAAATATTCTACATTAATTCTATAAAATATAATTAATAAAATTATTTCTCAAAAATTGCAAAATTTATCCATAGAAATTTTATCTCAAATCTTTATATTTAATTTATAATTAATGGTAATTATTTTTAAAAATAATAAAGAATAGAAAAAATAAATATTGTCTTCTAAATTTAAAAGTTTTTTGGTGATAGTAAAGATCTACTACTTGTTTGGCTCTTGTAGATATCGAGAAATTTTCCTAACACAAACCTAAATTTAATTATTTTTAGTTTAACTCTTAAATGTTTTTAATGCTTACTTAACTCATTTTAAATATTAATATAAAATCTATAACTTTATTTTCAATGATAAAATATTTAAAAAAATTTAAGTTTGGTTGGGTACATGAAAGCTTCCGGCAGTTGGTAAATCGCAAATATGGTCGAGAAACTTGGCTGAAAATTCTGTTAAAGATTTATATATTAAATAAAAATAATTTTTTTTAAAATTTTTATAGAGAAATAGCAAAATTTGAGGAAGGAACGGAAAGCGAAATAGGAAAATATTATAGAGATGAAGAATCCTTTCGTCTAGTTTCGGCAATGGGTTCAGTTATTGGTATTCCTGTTGAAGAGGTTTGGGAGGCATATGGAGGGTTTCTTATACAATTTACAATGGAGACTGGTTGGAATGAGTTATTAAGGGCTTTATCTCCTGATTTGGAGGTAAATAAAATTATTGAAAATTTTAGATTTATTTTACTTATAATTATGATATTATTAAAAATAATAAGAATAGAAACTTTTCTTTGGATCCCAAGAATACTTAATAGAATTGTTTAAAAGCTTAAATTCGAAGAATAATTTAATTAATAACCAAAATAATAATTTAATAATACTAGGGATTTCTTGACACATTGGATTCTTTACATTACGTGAGTATCTAAACAGTTATAGTTGAATTAATTAAAAATTTCTTTATTAGTTTATTGACCACGTTGTATACAGAACAAAACTGAAAGGTCCAGCATTTCGTTGTGAAGCACAACCTGATGGTTCACTTATTCTACATTATTATTCAAGAAGATCTGGATTATATCCAATTGTTAAAGGTCAAAAATTATTTTTTATTTTGTCAAAAAATATTTTCTGTAAGGGGTCATTCGTGAAGTTGCTAGACGTATTTACGAGACAGAAGTTATTATGAAAGTACAAGAACGAAAGCAAGAACATGTTGATTCTTTAATTACTGAACATGTTGTTTTTGTTATTAATCAAGTTTGTTTATTTGGTTACCAAAAGTTTTGGATCATTAGAATAATATGTTAAGACAAAAAATTTTTGGAGTTTCAGATAAATGGCGATGTAAAAACAAAATAAGAATTTTACGCAAGTATTTACATACCATACCAACAGATATAATGCCCACTCCTCTTTACAAAATACTAACACATAGACCATAATAATCCGTCAGTATCCGCGTGTTTTCAGATATCCATATCCATGAGGATATTTAAAATTAAAATAGACAACTTCGCTTGTTAATGCAAAAACATTTTAACTAAAACAAAATTTAAGGTAGAAAATTCACTTGCTGCTTTCCGGTCTATTGCTAGCAGAACAGTTAGTAGTTCAACTATTTCATCAGAATTTACAAATGTTTGTTTATTATTTTTTTATTATTAATTTTTAAAATATTAAAGGTTTGTTCCAATTATTATACAAAAATTGATGATTTTTGTAAAGCTTTTCCTCATCATTTTTGTTTTGACAAAGAATTACGTATTGAACATGTTGGCAAGTTTTAAAATTTTTTTACTTTAATTAATTTCAATATGAGAAAATATCTTTTTCAAAATTAGGTATTTATATTCGACGACTATTTCCATTAATTCAAAGAGGCGAAACACGTGTTGAAGACATACTTGAATTGTTATATTTATTTTAAACTTGCAAAAAGTTATTTATTTTTTCAGGGTCCATCCAGAAATTCCTCTATCGTTTGATTCAATAATGGCATTCAGAAATAGGTGGAAATTAATTTTTAAAAAATTAATTTTTTCTTAATAAATATTTAAAGTCTTTTTGTTTTCCGTCTTCGTGATGAATTAAGTCAGGGGAGTTCAAAGCCCAGTAGTTGCAGATCAGATGAAGTTAAGAGTCAACAAATGGCAATAACAATAAAGGGTAATCAAAAGTTTATTTTATAAATTCAAAGTTAAATTAAAAGTCATATTTTTTCTCAATTTTATAGGTTCAATGCATTTAGTTGCAGAAAATAAATATATGGTTTATATGTGCTCTCTTAATGTAACAACTATAAGGCAACAAATAAAAACTAAAAATTTTTCTAATATTCTTATGAATTTAAGAGAACTAATTGAGCGAAATCTCTTCCTTTCGGATATCCAACGTATTTATATTTTAAAATTTACAAAAAATTTCTTATCAAAATTTAATAAATTATTTAAAAACTTATAAGTTTATTTATAAAAAGGTCACGATAGCACTCGAGATTTAATAATGTTGAACCAGTCAAGAATGTCACAAGTTGAATTAAAGTGAGATTATTTAAAAATTAACTCTTCTAATAATTTTTAAATTATATTGTAAAGTCGGAATTTAGAAGAAACAACCAGAAATTTAAAATGTATGGCTAATGCATTAAAAACAGAAAAACAACGAACTGATGTTTAAAATAAAAATTATTTAATTTTAAAGTAATTTTGTAGGAACTACTCTGTGAATTAATGCCTCCAAGTGTGGCTGAATCCCTCAGACAGGGGAATACTGTTGAGGCTAGTGAATTCCCCGAAGCGACAATTCTTTTTACTGATGTAAGTTTAATTAATAAAGGTTAATTTTGATGTGAATGTGTGACAGAGGTATTAACGCCAGAATACATCTCTTTATTTAAACCTTCAGAAAAAAAACAAAAATACGATAAATTTTTTTAAATATCTGATAAGAAAGATTTTTAGATATTCAATAAATTAACAAAATACTTTTAATTTTTAATTTTTCAAAAACATATTTAGATTGTTACATTCACCAATATCTGTTCATTATGCACTCCATATGTTTGTTTAATTTAATTAAAATTAACTAAAATAAATATTATAAAGGATGTAGTTAATCTACTAAATGATTTGTATCAACGATTTGATCGAATTGTTGGAATCCACGATGTTTATAAGGTGGAAACTATTGGTGAGTTTTTAATTAAATTTATTAAGTAAAATGACAACTGAACAATTAAAGAGAAAAATTTTTAAGGTGATGCCTATATGATTGTTGGTGGAGTGCCAAGTGAACGTAGAAATCATGCAGAAAAAGTACTTGACGTTTCTATTGGAATGTTAATGGAATCTCGATATGTAAATTAATTAATTAATTAAATTATAAAATTAAAAAATATTTTATGCTGTTAATCCAATTACAAAAACACCTATTCGTATACGTATTGGGGTGCACTCTGGTTCTGTTGTAGCTGGTGTTGTTGGTGTTAAGGTATTTTTGAGAATATGTAAAATTAATAAAATAAACATACTAAACTTTTTGAAATTATTTCATTTTTTATTTCGGCTAATTTTCAAAAATTAATTATTTACTCCGAATGTTCACCTAAAAAGTTGATTATCCCAATCTAATTTTCTAAAAAAATCAGAGGCTTATGTTTCTAAAATAATGTCTCTAAAAATCAAAATTATTTAATATAAATCTCAATTTATCTTTTTATAGATGCCAAGGCAAGTTGTTTTTAATTGAATTATGCTAACAAGAATTCTATATTATGTAAAGATATTGTTTATTTGGAGATACAGTACAATTAGCTAATCGAATGGAATCCTCTGGAATTCCCTCGAAAATACATGTTAGCGAATCGGCTAGATCTCAGGCAATAAAAACAAATCCTTCATTTTTATTTACAGAAAGGGGAAATATTGAAATGAAAGTTTGTTTTTTGAAAAGAATTTATAAATTAATTTTCGAATTTAAGGGAAAGGGAATGATGAGAACTAATTTTTTGGAAAGAAATGATAGAAAAAGTGTTTGGGAAATTTGTGACAGACCTAGACAAGCACACCAAAGTATTGATGGTTATCAGGTCTAAAAAATATTTTTAAAAATCAAAATATCTGGTAAAAAATAATTTTTTGATGTAAAAGTAAATCATAAACTTAAATTAGCAGTTTTTTGGTTATAGTCCGAAACTGTATTCGAACCGAGAATTTTCGTTTATTCGGGCTTTTTTCGGCCCTGTGCCGTTAATCTTATTCAACTATCAGTCGACACTAACCCATAATTTGAATATAAAATTTGTAAGTTTCCGGAATCCAAGCATTGCAACACATATACCACAAATTGTAATAAAAAATGTCATTTATTCCTAAATTCTTTTAAATTTAAAATTAATTTTTGTCGAAAAATCATAATCATTTTAAAAAATTATTACCATTTATTAAGTTAAATCTAATATTAATTTCTAAAAATCCTTTTTTGTTTTAATTTCAAAGGAACTTCATAGTGATATATGCCCGGACCAATTATCGGATTTAGATGAGAAAACAGTAGATAGAAAAGAATTAACAATAATCCAAGACGAAACAAATCCTCTAGATGGGACAGAGCATGACAGTTTATCCAATAGAGGATTCGAAGAAAATAATAGAGAAAATAATAATAATAATTTTCAGGTAAAAATATTTTTAAAAAATTAAAGAAAAATTTAATTAAAATTTTTAGCAAAACGGCACATTACCACAAAAGACAAAAAAGAAATTAAGTAAAAAAGAAAAAGCAGAAAATCAAATTAAGAATGGAAATAAACAACAAAAAACAAAATCTAAACTTTGTTTATTGCTTTAAAATAAATAGTAAATTTATTTTATAATTTAGAATATTTTTCTGGTAAAATGGAATTTAAAAAGTACTTCTTATACAAATGTATGTTATAGATGGAGTAAATTTTAATCTTAGCAAAACGGCACATTACCACAAAAAACAAAAAAAAATTTAAAAAAGTATTGATGGCTATATGGCTATATGCCTCATGCAGGCATCGTTCATGTTACCTCTTGGCATCTATTATTACTAGTTTAAGCTCAATCTACCGATTGAGCTTAAACTACAGTGGGCCTGCTTTAACCTACAATTAATAAATCCTAAACCCTCGTTTAGCAAGTAGCTAATTAGCTGGATTTGACTTCTTCCTTAAACTATAATATGTATCTGAAAATATTTTACTTAATCGGTTTTATTGGGCCTATACTATTTTTTTGTATAACGGCACGAGTTCATATTTTAGTAAAATTTTTTTTGGTAATTTCAGTACTATATTAATTATTTTAAATCACTTTATGCAAATTTTTTAGAATTAAATTTATATAAAAAATATTTATCAAACATAAATATCATAAAAATAAATATATAATAAATAATATTTAAATGAAAATGATAGAAAAATACAATTTATAAAATAATTGGGATTGTTTTCATTAAATTAATAAAATGGAGATTTAATGAATGAGATTTTTTATTATAAATAAAATTTTTAAAATAAATAGTACATATGTATTTGTTTTGATTAAAATGAGTGCGTATTTAAATTATTTAAAAAAACTAATTTTCTATTTATTAATTATTATAAACTAAATAGGTATTTATAATTAATTATTTTAAATTTATTTTTTATTTAATTTCTAGACATTAATTACTTTTTTTCTTCAAAAAATTAATTTATTTTCCTGGACGAAAAGCAGCCCCTCCATCATATCCCGAACGTACAATTTCGTCTATCAGACGTTTTAATCCACTTAACTCACGTCTATGTAACATTTTATTAGGTTCTCGTTTATCTGAAAATTAAAAATATTTTTTAACGATTTTTGGTTTATTTTTATATATTTTTTAGTAAATGATATAAAATATTAGGTATTTGGTTATCAATAAATTGGCAAATAAATAGATAATTTTTATTTTTCTATTTTTGTTTAGAATCTAAAAAAAATTGTTTATATTTAAAAATACATATATGTACAAAAATAATTTTTGTTAATCAGGTTTTATTTTGTTTTTGTGAGAAATGAAAATAGTAAACAACAAATACAAAAAAATTTCCAAAAAAAATATTTTTATTTTCATTTTCTTTAAATTTCACAAAAAATCTAAATTAATTTACCCAAACTTTGTTCAGCAAAATTGTAAAAATTGTTGCCAACCAAAGGTTTTGCATCAGTATGTTTAACAGCAATAATTATCAGAAAAAGAAAAGATGCGGCCAATAACCATAGAATAAACCTCGTGCCTCTAATTAATTTATTACTATTTCCGTTGTTTGTTAGTAGTTGAAGATAATTTTGTAAAATAAATATAAACATTTTTTGGTAATTTATAAGTAAGTGATGGTTATTTTAAATTTTTTTATTTTTTTTATTAAATAATCTAAAAAATTATTTTTAATAAATTTGTTGAAATATTTAAAATAATTTTTTGAGTGAAAATTTATTTAATTTTTAATGCCACAATTATTACGTATATTTTAATTGCCGGGATTCAACAGAAAATTGCCAGATAATTTTAGTTAAATTTTTATAAAGTAAAAATTTAAAATTTAATTATTGTTAATAGACCAGTTTTAGATTAGAATTAACAACAGAAATATAGCCAATAAATAAGGTAACTTTAATATAAATCTCTAACAATTTTGTGCCGACAAATTTAAATTAAATTTAATAAAATTTAAATTTAATTTAAAAATAATTTTAACTAAATTAACACACACAAATTTTGGCATTAATAACCATAAGAATTTAAATATTATTTCAGAAAATTTTTCAGAAAATTATTATTTAAGAAAATTTTAAGGATTTCAGCAAAATAAAATAATATTCGAAAAAAATTTTTTTGTTGGGATTTTTGAAAAATTTGCTTTCGAAAATTTTTTTTCCTATTTGAAAAAATTAAAAATGTTAAAACCATAGAGGTATATTTTAATTTATGTAAAAAGTAGTGGACACAATTAAAAATTAAAATAACATTAATAAAAATATTTTTACCTAAGCTAACATTTTAACAAAAATACCTAAGCTTTATATTTTGTTTTTAAATAAAAATATATTAATTTTCATATGGCAGACTTTTGCGTGTTTATATTGTCTATATTTTAATGTTATTTTTGCAATATTATTTAAATTAAAGGGGTGGGAATTACGTTAATTTAGAAATATTTAAAAGAAGCAGGTAATGTTTAAATGATAATTACCTCTCTCTCTTATTAATTATACACCGCGTGGTCGGAAAAAAGTAAAAAAATTTGTTGAAGAAATTGTTGGGAATGGATAAATTATTTGTAAAGTGTTGACGATAAACAAAAATATTTGTATCGAATTTTCGTTGAAACGGTGTGACAGAAAGTAATTAAAATAAAAATTTAGAAAAAAAGTACAACCCTTTGGAGAATTAAAAAGAGAAAATTATGAAAAAGGAAACAGATAGCATTTTAATTGTAAGTCAGCCCTAATTTAAAATACCTATTGAGAGATAAATTTAATAATTGTTGTTATCGTAATAAAAATAGTAACAGTCTAAAATCTAGGAAACGAAAAGAAAATCGAAAACTTGAAAGGATCTTTACTTGACTCTAAAATAGCTTTGTTTAGTTTAACAAATTCTACAAGTATACCTTATTTACACAATTTATTCCTAGAAATTAGAATAGGTAAAGGGGGATTATTGGGGAATTATTTTTAGAACTCATCCCTATGATTTGAAATTATTCGAAGTAGGGAATTAATTAATCAAGTAAATGTTAGTTCTTCTAGTTCTGCCTTAAAATTCAGTTTAAACATTATCTAGGCTAGATTAAAATTTTGTCTCGAAAATTTAGAGTAAAAATCCAGAGAATGCCCCAAAAAAGCCCCAAATAATGTTTATATCCAACAATACCTGTTAAATTTTATAGCTTAAATTATTAAATAAAATAAAACATCATACATATGTCACGAGAAAATTTTAAATTTTAAAATTAATCTTTAATATCTTGTAAAAGTAATTTAATTTTCTCCTTCTTAAAATGATAGACAAAAAAATTTTTAAATGCTAAACATTTTCAATTTGGAAGCATTTTAATTGTACACGGTATTTAATTTTTAACTGACGTTTATTGGCAATTATTGTTTAATTCCTAAAATAGAAATTTTAACACGTCTTAAATTTTGGAAATATCTAAATTAAAATTTAAAAGGTAATAATTAGTATTTTAATTTTTATCAATAATTGTTAAGGGATTTAATTTGAAATAATTTTTAGATATTTAAAAAATTGCAGTTTTAATATAGTAATTACCTACGTAAATTTATTTTTGTAACTTATTTTTGGTAAAAATTTTTGGAAGTTAAAACACAAAAATGTAAATGAAGAAGACCGGAAATGTAAATATCATGGATATTTCAAATCAATTCTAAAAAGCGAAAGATTCAGAGCAAAATTAAAAATCTGAAGATAGAAGATGAAGACGGAATTCTTAAAAAAGATGTAATTCGGCAGAAAATGAAATTTTCCTCAATTTCTATGTATCTTACAATTAGAAGAGAAGAGCTTTGTGATGCTATTGTGAGAGTTCAATCTTCTTATTGATACAAGTTTATTCCAAGAGTTTGAATATGTAAATAATTTCTTTATTTGAAAGTTTGTTTTGAAAAACAAGGTTAACAATAACTTAGTTAAAGTATAGTTGAATCCCAACAACCTAACTACACAACCATAAAAATATTAAATAAAAGTATATTTTTTAAATAAAGAATTTTTTAAATCACTAATAGAGGAATGGCCTTGTGATGATATTGTTAGATTTCAATCATCTTTTTGATATAATTTAATTACGAACAAAAGTAGAAGAAGTGATATCCTGAAATTGTTATCTTATAAACTCCATTGCCCTTTAGGGAATAAACTCTCTCTGAATCATAAATCCGTGCAAGAGTTTAAGGGAATAGACATTCTAATCTAATATTATTTATAAAAATATTTAAATTAAGACTATACTTAAAGTAATTAATATTCAAAGAATATTCATTAATTAACAATTTATTTAATTTTTCGAACAAACAAACAAATAAATTAATTAAATATCAATCAACAAACTATATAATAGTAGATAAGATATAGAGAGAAAGAGTAAAAGGCAATTTTGTAAAAATATTTTTCAAAGAAACAGTCACCTAAACGGTTTCCCCAAACTCTAAGAAAATGTAAAAAAGCAATAAATTTTGTTAATAAATTGATAGGCAATTCAAAGAGGACCACGTGGTTGTTTTTTTTTATTTTTTTTTGGTTAGAAATGATTAAGGAGAGAAATTTTGAAATTAGTGAATAATTTATATATGTAAGGATGATTCACCTAGAGCCCCTGTAGCTCAGTTGTGAGCAACTCTTGTGTGAGCAAGGCCGAGCGATCACTGTCAGCGTTATCGCAGGTTCAATCCTGCCCGCTGGCTAAACTTATGCTAAACTCTTTCTGTAATTTATAAAATAATTTTAATTGAGATCCTCTACAGTACTTTCGAAGCACTTTTCTGAAACATATGTAGACTAGAAAAGTAAAGTTTTTAAGTTTAAAATTTTACTTTTCACGAAATCTAAACACAATTTCCACTTACATACTTTCATTATTTCACTACAAAATTAACTGTTTCAATTGTCTGTTTCATCAAGATTAGATTTGGCTTAATATTTTTATTAAAATTTTTTTTAAAAATAAGAATTGCACGGAAATATTGTTATTATTTAATTTAAATTTTTACATTTATCACGCAACATTAAATGAAATTTCTTGTAGTATTTAAGTAAATTAATTCAACGAGTCATTAAGTTTTCGAAAATTTATTTTTTACATATAATACTAACAATAAGTCATATATCCATTAAAAATGGAAATTTATCTTTTACGCCGAGCGGAATGGGAAAAATTTTACAATTGTAATCTAATTAATGTTGACGATGTACCTTTTGTTGAACGTTATCATCCTTTAAACGGAACAATTATTATAGGGCTTTTTGTAATTTTCGAGGTAAATAAATAATTCTTATCTGTTGGAAAAAGACATTGAATTATTTGAAACAATTTTTCGATTTGATAAAATATTAGAAATAAAGGTCTGTAATACAGGTCTGTCTCCAAATATCCTTAATTATCCCAAAATTATCCTTTTTAATTTATCTACCAATAGGCTCTCTATTTACCCTGTCTATTTGCCATTTACAAACACACAGAACATTCATGTTATAAATTGCTCTTTTTTATTGGAATATCTGATATGCTAATGCTTCTTTTTCATGGATTAGAATCTGGAGTATATAACTTTACCGGAGAAATGTTTTGTCCAAATTATAATTTTAATTATGTAACAGGATCTTTTGGAGCAGGTTAAAATTAGAAAGGGTCGGGGATAACTTTGATAAAAAGAAACGTAATTGAGACAAGTTTTGTGAGAAAATAATTTTTCGAGACAAGGGAGACAAGACAAAAATTTAGCTCGTCACCCTGGCTTTTCCTAACTTAATATCTGTAAATTCTTTAAACAAGAGAAATTTAAATATAGAGAATTTAGCTGCATACATATCGAAATATCAATTTTTAGTATTAAAAAATTTTAAAATAATTTTTGATTGTTTTAATCTTTTAATTAAATATATGAATAATTAAGCCCTCTTCGCATTGGAGACTTCTGCAAATATATTTCTGGCTATAGACCGATGTTGTGATTTTATTTCCCCAAAGATTTGCGAATTTTTATTTAATGGTATCCTAAATACATGTACATATTTATCTTTTATTGTTTTAATTTTAAGGAAAACGTATTACTTTTTGGATAGGGTTTTTAATCATATTTTCTTTTTATTATTTCTTTTATGTAAATCCTGCATTCTACAATGGTGTTTATATGAATTGGTTCATGAATCCGTGAGAAATATTTTAAAATTTAAATTAATCTTTTAACATAAAGTTTTGTAGATATTCGATGAAAAATATTGAGTTTGCCAAACTTTTCGTTTTTTCTAGGTGGAGCTGGGAACGGGTTATATTCTTGTCCGTTCTCAAGTCCCGTCTCATCTAGTATTAATATAAGAAATCAAAATAAAAATTCAAAATAAAATTCAAGATATTGAGACCCTGGAAACTGAATATAGATTAAAAGATAACACTTAATAAATTAGATATTGTTTTTATAATAGAAAGAATTAATTAAAGATATCAAAGCTATTCAATTGAATCGACAGTAAATCTTAACGATTATATAAATCCAATAACATTTTGGTACAATATGTTTTTGACATTTGGCTTTCCAATTATTTATTTGATCTACATTTGCTTTTTTATTTATCGTCTTAGAGAAATTAAAGCGATTGTGGATGTTAGCCAAAGAAAATGGAAAATAACGGTTGATAAAATTGAAAATATTTTTTAGAAATTAGAGGGCAATTAACAATCAAAATTCCCAAATAAACAGTAAAGAAACTGGATTTTTTATCGGTGATGTAATTGTTTGAAGAAATCGAACGGCTCCTCATTAGCAGGGATTTTAGCTTTCTATCGTTCCGGTTGATTCCAAGATTATGACTGTTTCCCAATTCCAAGAACAGTGACGGATAGTTGGAAATCTTCGGATGTCCGGTATCCGAACCGAAAATTTCCTGATATCCGGCCTTTTACCTTATACGGATATCCGGATCCGCCAACTTTAATAGTGACATCCCTGCTCATTAAGATAATTAATCAAAAAAATTTAGATGTTTATTCAAGTTGCTATTATTTGCGGTATAAATATAGCATGTTGTTATTTATATGCTATAATGCAACGTTTGCCAATGAGTAAAACATTAATTATTGTCGGATATTATTTGAACTATTTTGTATTTGGTAATAATTTAAATAAAAAATTTAAAAAAATAATTTTTTGAAGGATTACCTCCATTTATTTATTTATTTTGTAACGAAACAATTAGAAATGATGTTAAGAAAATAATTGGCAAAAATCTACATAAATTAGCTAAAAAATTATATTCTCCACCAAACAGTATCAATCCCTCATATAATAGCCGAATGCAACGTAGTGTTAATCGCCCTCTAGCCAGTCGATTTAGTGGAGGAAATTAAGAAAATTAAATTTTTGTAAATAAGTATATGGAGATTATCAAAAAGAAAAAAAATATATATTTGGTGAATATACATAGTAGTTTTTCTTATAATCACAATCAATTATCAGTAAAATTTTTCTCTTATGAGTTTTAACATTTTAATTTCTATATCAAAGCCAAAAAAAGCCAAAAATTGGTATTTGAAATCAAACTTGCTTTACATTATTGTATAAAATTTTTAAAAATTTGGTTTAGATACTTCAATTTTAAATGAAAATAATTAAATCACGAAAACCTCTTTAAATTTTTTTTGGTTTGTTGGATAATATTAACTTAAATAATTAGAGTGATTTCAATTCATCAATTCAAATTTGTGCGCATAAGCTAAAGTTTGTTGTTCAAATAAAGACAAACAAGGGCTGTCCGTAAAATATTCTCTCGCCGCAGCACTGGTCCGTAACCGAAATATTTACACAAATAAACAACATCACTAGAGGTGTTTTTACTTATCTAAAGCCTAAAATCATACTCAAGTAGATAATTAGAGTAAAATAAACATGTCTGGTGATCTCGGCAGCGTGCGATTTAGGCAGCTAACTATGGGCAGTGAGAGATTTGGACAGTAAACGTTTTAAAAAAATAATTTTTTATGCAAAAACAATTTTAGTAACAATAAAAAAATAATTATGAATTATTTGGGCATTAATAAATTTATTGTGGATTTATTTGTGAACGATTAAAAATAGCATTTCGATATGGTGTGTTTGTTAAAATACAAATAATTGGGTTAAATAAAGGTGTTAAATGATATAAACTGAAAAATAATATTCTAATAATATTTATTGTATTGTTGCTTGTTTTTGTATAAATTATAAAAAATAAAATTCCAGCTTGATCAACAAAAGGTACAAAAGCCTAAAAATTAATTAAAAAATATTTAATAGAATGAACATTCTCTCCCTTAAAATAATTTTTGAAAGTATTGAAATATAGAATGGCACTAATTCTATTAGATTTCTACTTAAAATATTATCTATCACAATTTAAAGTCTTACCAAAATAAGCAAAACTTTTGTTAAAAGTTTATTCAATTTTTTTAAATTTCCATCAAGATTAGTGTTTAAATTGACATATCTAACCATTTTGAATCCACAAACAAATATTATTAAATATGCAAGCATTTCAATTAATGTTAGAGGTAATAGTGTTAGAATATTCAACTATTTTTGTTTTAAATTTAGAAAAATGTAAATTAATTTAAAAATAACCGTTCCCATTTCATATTGAGTAAATGGCCATGTTTCGTTAAAATTATCAAAATATTTAATACCTCCATTTGAATATGGCATTACAAAGAAAATACTATCCAAGATATAAAATGTTTGTACAAATAAAGCAATGGACACCATAAATAAATATCGACGAAAAGTAATTTTTATATTTCTAAGAATAATTTAATAATTATTATTTTAATTTATTTACTTGTTCAAAACTAAATATCTATAAATAAATTGAACACACAATCCATGCAAATTTAAATAAAAAATAAATGCCCAAACGAAATAAATAATATAAGAGATAAACGGATTAAAATTTTCTTTCATAAAACAAAGCAAAATTCCATTAGGAAAAATTGTAATTGCATTCCCTTCTGCATCAAGGATATAAAACTATAAATTATTTTAAAATTGATATTAATTCTGGTGTTTATTTTAAATTAATTCTGGTATTAGACAAACTATAGTAAGAATTTAGCAAAAGTTTAGCCAAAGGACAGGATCAGGGTGACCATCTCCAAACCACTAAAATAGGGCGCAGCCACTCAAAAATGTGGCAAAAATAGGGCAAAATTGGTCAAAAATAGGGCAAAAAATAGGGAATTATTTTAAAAGCTTAAAATTAATTAAAATTTCAAATAAAAAGCTTTATTTTAAACCTCTTTTCACTAGTTTTAAGTAGATTGATCAAATCGGGATCAGAAATAAAATGATCATATGCCTGAGTACAATAAACTCAGAATTAAGTTTAATCAGGGCTCCGATCGACAAAATGCCACTCAAAAGTATCAAAATCTTGTAAAAAAAGTACATAGGGAGAAAATTTGCAAATAAAAAGTACACTCAAAATTAAATTTGAAAATATTTATTCGTGATCAGATCTTTTATATTTCTCTCCTAAATTAATCTTTTCTAATAATTTCTTGTTTCAACTGAGTATTTTGTAGAGTTCAGCGGTATCGGGATTTCGAGAAAAACCCGGGATTGGGATTTAGGAATGGTGATCCCGATCCCGGATCCCGACACGGCATCGGGATTAGCCGAAATCGGGATCGGGATTTGGACTGGAGATCCCGGTCCCGATCCCGAATCGGGACCGGGATTAGAAAATCGGATCGGGTTCTAAAAAGTATTTTTTTTTTATTTTTAAATTTTTATTTTCTTCACATACGACTCAGTATAATTCTAAAATTGCACTGCGGTCCCCCCCCCCCCCCCCGATCCCGATCCCGGATCCCGGCTCGGGATTGAGATTGGCCGGGATCGGGATATTTATTTGGGACCGGGATTAGAAAAATCGGGATCGGGATTCGAAAAACCCGGGATAATCCCGCCCGATCCCGACCGGGATCCCGATCCCGCTGAACTCTAGTATTTTGTTGACATGTCAAAATTTGCTGTCACATGAAGCAAAGCTCTGACAGTCTTAACCTCAAGCGAGTTTCTTTCTTTCGTCCATTGAATGTTTGCCATTGAGAAGCGCCGCAGGCGAAAATTTTTTGAAATTTGGAACCTAAGAAGCCAGATTTCTTCTTTTTCAGCGCCGCAGGCGAAAATTTTAAGAATTTTGGAGGTCCTTAAGCCAGATTTCTTCCAATTTTTGCGCCGCATGCGAAAATATTGAGAATTTTGGAGGTCCTTAAGCCAGATTTCTTCGTTTTTTCAAAAATGTTGATAAAAAAGTACATACTTTCAAAAAAGTACAAATTCAATTTCGGAAGTACGAAGGTCGATAAAAAAGTACAATACTTTTAAAAAAGTACGAATCGGAGCCCTGAGTTTAATGGATACAAAAAAATTAGCAACAGAAAAATGCTGTGAGTTGATTCAGCAAAAAATATTTTTCTAAGAAATCTTCGACACTTGCTTTCAGATCGAAAATGAGCCTCCAATGCTGACCAACTTCGAGCTATTACATTAAACAAACGTCAAAATAGCTGAATAAAATCCCGTACTTCATTCTGTTCGTGCCAATCTACATAAATATAATAATAAGCTAGTAACCTTCTCCCTTACAGCGCCGCAGGCAAAATTTTTCAAAATTTTGGAAGGCAAGAAGCCATATTTCTTCATTTTTTAGCGCCGCAGGCAAAAATTTTTAGAATTTTGGAGGCTGGGAAGTCAGAAATCCTTCATCTTTACCATTTTTTTACAAAATCCCAAAAAACTTTAGAAATATTACAAAATGGTAAAAATAGGGCAAAAATATGACAAATGGTAAAAAAGGGAAAAAATAGGGCGTAAGTTCAAAAATAGGGCAATGGCGTAAGTTCAAAAATAGGGCAAGAAAACAGTAGTATACCGGTGGAAAGGTTTTTAATTTATGATTAACTTTCTGGTTTATTTTTGTTTTATTACCACTTGAAGAAGCATTTGAACAATCAACAATAAAATATCCAAAACACAATTCTGTATCAGAATTCGACTGTGTATTTTCATTTCTTTTGGCGTTTTAAAAATAATTAAAATTATCAGAAGAATATTTAAAGGAAACCCAATTAATATACAAACAAAATAATCAAATTTAAATAAAATATCAAGTAAAACGGAAGACATTTTTTAGTTAGAAGTCTTTTTTGTAAAAGAGAATTTTTGACAAAATTTTTAAATATTTAAAAGAAAACAGTAGTCTGTTTCAAAATTTTCATCTGTAATTTAAAAGATAAATAAAAATATTTTTTTAGACAAATATATTATTTGCCAAAGAAAAATTAATAATATGTTAAGTTCCTTTTCTTTAAATTTTAACTCCGACTTAGCGAAAATGCCTTAACTTTTTCCTTCGAGACAAACTAAATTAATAATTCTATATAATTTTAAAATAATGTTTACATTATTCTTTTATTTACTTTAAATTTACAGGTGAAAATTTGTTAATTTTCTTAGAAATATGGCAAAACTTTTATTGACATTTCTTGATAAAGTACAAACGCCTAAATTATCGGCAATTAGAATATTTTTTAATATTGTTTAAAACATAAACCATCAAAAAGTTAATCTGTCGTCATTTGTTTAGAGAATTAGAAATAGTCGCTTATCAAAAAAATAATTACGAAAACCATTTTTTAAATATTTTATAATTTTTTTTATTTTTAAAAATTTTATAAATTAAAAAATTGGAAAAATTCCGTCATAAGTCCAGGAAACCGATTAAACAAACAATAACTCCGCGCTTCGCGGCACGCGCCCTATTGCGGCACGCGCCTCGCGGGGAGTCTACGGTCGCTGGGTTCTGGGCTCGTAACTTAATCCTATTCCAATTATCGCTGTGATGGTCATGCCCGGCTTCCTCCGCAGCAGCATGAACATCCACGGAGAACAGAGGTAAGGAGCTAAAACAAACTATCATAACTTTGTTAAATCAAATCAGATTTCGTTGATTTTGGTGTCTTTCGACTCAGCTCGAGGAGCTCTTTCGAATGAGGTATAATTTGCATTTTTAAATTTTTCACCCCAAAAAAGTGCTTGGTCCCCCCTATGGTTTTTCGATTTTCGGGGGCCTATATCTCGGTCCAAAAGTGAGACCGGGACCTAATTTTGATGTCATTCGACTCAGCTCGCCTAGCTCTTTCAAATGACATATTGTTTGTCTGAATCGGTTTCCGGGACGTATGACGGAATTTTACCAAAAAATTTTTAATAAAGAACTTAAAAAACTTAGAACCTCTGAAAAAAGAAAAATTTTAAAAAACGAATTGATATCAAGACATCAAAAAAATATAGCACAAGACTTTGTTTATTT